GAGAGAGAGAGAGAGAGAGTGGTATTGGGTTTTGTTGTTTGGTTCAAGAGAAAAAGGGGGAAAAAAGAATGAAAGATGTGGTGGTGGTGGTGGGGGAGGCGTTCTTGTGTTCTGAGTTTCAAGACATGAATCATTAGGTCGATTGACGATGGATTTTATGACTGGTGATGTGGGTCTAAATCTCTTTCCAGTAAAATTATTCAACTTGGTACTTCGTCATTAGTTCAAAGAACTGTAAAAATGTATGTTGAATTTCATTTTGAAAATGAACTCGTAATGTAAATTTAAAATTAGTAACATGTGAATCACACCACAATGACAGTAGGCCATTGATTCATTTTTCTTACTAATTTTCTAGATTTGAGAATTTTAGATTTTTCTCAATAATACTGTTTTGAAAAATCACAAAACAACGAGACAAACATTAAATAATAAATGGCATGAAAGAATACTTCAACACCACGTGCCTCTATCTATGGATCAGGTGGCGGACTTACGGTAGGCCTAAGTAGGGAAGCAACCAACTTCGGATTGGTTAAGAGATTGTTCAAGTCTAACTTGAGCTGTGTCAAAGTTACTCAAGCTCGTACCAGCATAACAAGCTCACAAAATAATACAAACTCTTATTAACCGTATAATGTGTTTCATGTATGTTAAATTTTTTATTAATATAAATAATACAAGCTCACAAACTAACCTCCCAAGCAAAATTAAAGATCAAGATCTTTATTGAAACTAAATTTTATTCTATACATGTAGGAAACTAACCAAAATAAATACATAAATTGAAAAAAGAAAATAAAAGCAAAAATTGCATTACTTGTGCCATACTGCATATCCGTGGCCAGAAGTCACTAGCGACCACTCCCTGCCAGATGGACACCATGAACCATCTCCGATCTTCATGCTCAATTTCTCCCCAATAATTGCAGAGTAAAGATTTGGCTGGGCTTCAATAATCCTAATAGATGATCGGCTGTGGATGTCTTGATGCTTCCTAATGTCCATCTGCATGTTTACTCAATAATCTTACAGCAGCTTGAGTCAAGAAGACATTGAATTCAATTAAAATGGTAGAAATTAACACACATACCAGCTTCACAATTTCGTCGTGAATGGCATTATCCCAATCATAAAAATGGTCATAAAAAACTGTCGGTATTCCTGGGTGTGTGAGTATGTATGCATAGCCCTGGACAGTGACAATGGTGTCAGAAATCATAAGTAGATAGCCAAAAGACAGGAAGTGTTCTACAAATTGAAAAGATTTTCAGCTACATTTCTTATAGTGAAAAGTCTCGATAGTGATTTCATAAAGCATGTCCAAATACTTTCCATGATGCTTGTATGATCACTGGGAAATTAAGCAATCTGTTTTCGTAAAAATTCAAATTGTTTTACAGGAAAACTATACAGCTAAAGAAGTCTCATTCATCTAACATGATGCAACAAAACAACAATTCATACATTTCCTATCCTCCGTAACGCCAAATGGAGCTATTCATCCGGAAAACCTAAGCCTCTCTCATTACAATTCAGTTTCATTATTCAATAATCAAATGTCATCAATGGACCAGTACATAAAAAGGCTTATAATACCACCCTTTTCACTGTGACCCGTGCCACTCGACTGGTGGGCCACTTTCTAAAGCACAACCAGAAAAAGTTAGAATAGAAGTGTCAGTAAATGCATTTATTAGCAACATCTTTCAATTTTTGTTGCTAAAGGTTTTTATTATTGCGTATGCTTCCCGACAACTGAGATCGCATGAAAAGAACTACCCTACTCATGGTTTGGAACTTGCCGCAGTGGTATTTGCATTGAAAATTTGGCGCCATTACCTTTATGGGGCAACATGTGAAGTGTACACAGATCACAAGAGCTTGAAATATTTCTTTACATAGAAAGAGTTGAACATGAGGCAGCGGAGATGGTTAGAACTGATAAAAGACTATGACTTGCAAATTTTGTACCATCCGGGGAAAGCCAACACTGTTGCCGATGCACTGAGTCGGAAATCAATTGAGAATTTAGCCTGTCTACTCGCCAAACAGAAAGAACTATTGTGTGATCTTGACAAATTTGAAGTTGAGATTGTGTTACGAGAACAAGGTGGAACATTGGCTGCTATTTCTGCTCAGCCGGCTCTCATTGAGGAAATTAAAGAGAAACAACATCAAGATGACTTTCTGAAGAAGATTATCGGTGAACGGGAATCCAAACCAAGGCCAAACTTTAAATTTGAAAACAATCTATTGAAGTTTCAGGAAAGGCTGTGTGTACCGAATGATTCTGAACTGAAAAGACGAATTTTGTAGGAAGGCCACAATTCGAAACTTTCCATCCATCCTGGAAACACAAAAATGTACCAAGACTTGAAACTTAATTTCTGGTGGCCGAGAATGAAGAAAGAAATTGCCGACTTTGTATAGAAATGCTTACATTGTCAACAAGTCAAAGCCGAACATCAACGACCCGTGGGCTTACTTCAGGCCCTACCAATACTGGAGTGGAAATGGGAACACATCATTATGGACTTCATTGTCGGTTTACCTCACTCCAGTAAAGGTATGGATTCAATCTGGGTTATTGTTGATAGATTGACTAGATCTGCTCACTTCTTACCTGTCAAAACAATCTATAATGCGGACAAATTGGCTACAGTTTGTATTGATGAGATTGTTAGATTGCATGGAGTGCCTGTATCTATTGTTTCTGACAAGGACACAAAGTTTACATCGAGATTTTGGCAAAGTTTGCAAACTGCATTGGGTACTGAACTGAGACTGAGTTGTGCATATCATCCTCAGACAGATGGTCAGTTAGAAAGAACCATTCAGACTCTAGAAGATTTACTACGGATGTGTGTTCTTGATTTCCATGGAAATTGGGAAAGCCATTTACCTTTAGCTGAGTTTGCCCACAACAATAGTTTTCACTCGAGCATTGGTATGGCGCCTTTCGAGGCTTTGTATGGCAGAAAATGTCGATCTCCTATTTGCTGGGCAGAAGTTGGAGATGGGCCTTTGCTTGGGCCCGAGATTGTACAAGAAACCACGAAAAAAGTGAAAGTGATTCAACAGAGATTGAAAACCGCACAAAGCCGACAGAAAAGTTATGCGGATGTCCGAAGGCGAGATAGGGAATATGAAATGGGTGATCATGTTTTTGTTAAAGTGACACCAATGAAGGGTCAGACTCGTTTTGGAGTCAAGGGTAAGCTAGCACCGAGGTATGTTGGACAGTATGAAATCATTAAAAAGATTTGTAGACGTCCCCGAACGCCCCGGGAGGGTGAGGTCCCGCTCCGTTCGTTTTGCGGGTCTACTACAGTTCGGTCTCAAATTGCCACGGTTCTTAATCTGAACCAAAGAGTCCAAATTCGGCAAATCGTTTTGAGAAAACAGATTTTTAAAAGAAGTGCCAAACATGGACTGCTTTGCCAGATACAGAGTCGCCACCTAAATATTTTATTTTGGGGAAATTTAGGAAACCCTAACTCGGTGCCCAAGGCCACGTGTCCGTCATCACCAAAGTTGCCTCGGCTCGAGAACTTGGGTACGATTGGGAAAGGTCAACTATGAGCACCCCTTCTCGCCCGATCATAGATCGGCCTCTACTAACCGTGATATCTTGTTTTGAAAGCATTATGTGTTCTTATTCCAATTATTAGTTTAGAATTACTATGTTATGCGCATAGCAAACAAGTATAGACCAAATCGTCTAAATTGGAACAAAACATTTCATGTTTGTTTTAAAAATGGTTTGCCACTCGCAAGTAGGCTAAAATGCAGGTTTTGCCACCCTCAAGTGGGCTTTTAGAAAAGATGGTTTTGCCACTATCTAGTGGGCTTAAAATTCACAGTTTTAATGTGTTATCCCAATTTAAGCAATTCGACCTCCATCCACAGGCATTCAAGCAGTTATATCACATAAGCAGCTAGCCTCATGGTAATCATGCAATTATGGCAACACTCACACGCATACGGCATGCTAAAGCATAAAAGCTCACCTAGTACTCCAAGCCAAAACAGAAACCAGTTAGTAATCACATGCATGATCCTAGTTCATATTTGAAATGGCTAATGCAACACATGCAAAGATGCAATCCAAATAGGCTCGGCTATCCTAAACATGGCATGTGAAATGCTGCAACTAACACGTATTCAATTTGGAATTGAAATACAAGTGCAGTTAGAATGATGCGCCGAGCCCGGTGCATGCAAGACAAATGTATGGATGCACGCATGCATAGCATAAGGTATGCTAATTTAAATATGACCTAATACTAACCATCAGAAGCAGGTAAGTAAAAGGGAGAAAGAAGTTGGGGTTGGAAGACATGCACACACGCACCCACACTTATTACAAATTCGCCCTCACTCGGAGGGACCAAAAGAATAATGCAAACCGAATAAGTAATTAACTACTCTAGCTAATTAAATATTACAGACCCTTAATTAATTAAACAAATTAACTAAGCTACTGAAGCAGTAAAGGCCTTGGGAAGAGGGATGAATGCAATGCATGCTCGGCTCTGCTCAGAAGTCCACTGCCATGCACAAGTTGCCTCTGTTTTCCCTGCTCTGCTCCTCTGAAGACTGCACAAGTCCCAAGGTATGCTCTCCGCATACTGTGGAGTGCCACCGGCTGAAGGGAATGGCCACCGGCCTAGGGGAATGGTCACCGGCCACTGATTAAGATATCGGCCACTGATGGATGGGCGGTCGGCACTGGATATGGCCGGCCGGCAAAAGCTTCCTGCAGAATTTGTTTTGACAGCAACAGAGGGCAAAACAAGGCATGGCAATGCATTTCAAGCAAATGTGTGCACCAACACACCCCTTGTCATGTTTATGACTCAAAGGGGCATGGTACTCGATTCTCGGACCACCAATCGCGCATTTCAATGCGTGATGGGCCAAAGAGTCAAAGTGTGCAATTTCAATATGGAATGAAATGCACAAAACAAACAATGGGCCCCAACCTCCATCATAATCAATTCAAGAGGCAAGAGATGCATGCTTAATGTTATACAACCTAGGCATGGAAGCTAAGCATGCAATATGAGCATGTGAACAAACAATGTAAACATGCAAGCATGCAAGTTACGCAAACTAACAAGCATGCAAGATGGATGAGCATGCAACGACATGTGGGAATGGTCTTAAACCAAAATGGGCAGCTCTCAAATAGGCCCAAATCAGTGGCCAAATGCCATGGAAATGAGGGCCAAAACACATACAAGCATGCATGCACACAAGGTTCAACACTTGGGCACCAAAGAGCAACTTTTAAGCACACTTAAAAGAGAATAAACATGGATACATGGCATGCATAGAAAGCTCTGAAATCATGTTATAGAAGGTGCAAAACCAAGTAAACAAGACAAGCCAAGCATGCAACAATGGTCTAAAACTCAAGGCAAGCCAAGGGGGGATTACATGGTAGCTATACAAAGCAAAGCATGGATGACCCGAATGACCCAAAACAGATCTCAAGCGCACCAAAACATGCACAAAAGCTTCACAAAGCTAAGCCAAAACAAGTGAGCATGGTAGTCTAAATGCTAGGCACATGTTAAGGCAATTCATGGCATTACAAGACAAGTATGCAAAGCAAGCATGGTGTGTCTAAACCAATTAAAAACAGTGCAATATCATGGCAAAATAAGCACAAATAACACTTAAGACATGGCCAACATGAACTTAAAAATGGTGCTCACACATGAGGCTAAAATGGCATTTTTTGAAGACAACAAGGAGAAGGGGATGGCCCTCTCCTTCTTAGGACCTTAAACCACCATCCTCACCACTGAAATCCCTCAAGATTTCAGTGGTGAGGAGGCCCAAACAAGGTGGTCCCGGAGCTCACCAAAAATAGCACAAAATAGGGCCAAACAAGGCCTAAGAGGGGGTAAACGACCCCAAACACAAAAGTGTCCTTAATGAAGTATCTTAAACACAAAAAAATAGAACTTTTTTATGTTATACACAAAGCTCAAAACAGCAAGCAAGACAGGCTAAAAACAGTGCAAAAACGGGGGATAAAATAGGGTTAAAGGCTCACCCTTGTAGACCAACGAAACCAGCAGCTTCTTCGGCAAAAAACCAGTCCCTTAGCCTTTGAAAATGGCCTCCAAGCTCCTTAGGTTGGTGATGGAGGTGTTAGGCTAGGGGTTGGTGTGCAAAGGAGCCAAGAACCAAGCAATTTGGAGCCAAAATGGAGGAGATATGGAGAGAGATATATGTA